ATGACTTCTCTGCCAATCTAAATGGTGCAACCATTTTTTCCAAGATCGACCTCGTCCTTGCCTACCATCAAATTCCTGTGGATCCAAATGATGTCCCAAAGACTGCAATCAGCACGCCATTCGGTTCGTTTGAATTTGTACGAATGCCTTTTGGACTTCGAAATGCAGCTCAAACGTTTCAGCGTTTCATGGATGAGGTACTTTGCGGTCTTAATTTTGTCTACGCATATATCGACGACCTACTAATTGCTAGCTCCACAGAATCTGATCACTTACAGCATTTAGAAATTCTATTCAGCCGACTATCAGAGTATGGTGTCATTATTAACCCTGTCAAATGTGTTTTTGGCGTCCTTTCGTTGGACTTTATGGGTCATAGAATTTCTGCAGACGGTATTCCACCCCTGCCTGCTAAAGTAAAAGCCATCCAGGAATTTCCACTTCCAACATTTCTTCGCAAGCTTTGTGAATTCCTTGGTTTGATCAACTTTTACTGCGATTTGTTCCTCACTGTGCAACAATTTTAACGCCGCTCACTGATCTCTTGTCACCTAAATGCAACATTGACGATCCTTTCCCGCTGACCGGTGATACTGAATCTGCTTTCATCAACATCAAAGCTGCCCTCGCCAAAGCCACTCTTCTTGTACATCCATCTCAAATTGCACCGTATTGCCTCATGGTAGACGCCTCTAATGTTGCTGTTGGTGGAGTCCTTCAACAATGTATCAATAGCGTTTGGAAACCCATTGCTTTCTTTTTAAAGTGTTTACAACCTGTAGAACGAAAGTACAGTACTTTTGGACGTGAACTGCTTGCTGTTTACCTCGCCATACGCCATTTCCTCCACAATTTGGAGGGACGTCATTTCACTGTCTTTACTGATCATAAGCCACTTACCCATGCTTTATCTGTTTCTCCGGACCGATACTCTCCACGTGAGACACGTCATTTGGATTACATCTCGCAATTCACTTCCTATATTCGTCACTGTCCGGGAACAGAGAACATTGTTGCAGATACCCTATCTCGGGTGGAAATCAATGCTCTAAACGTTTCATCTCGTCTCGATTTTGCAGCCCTTGCCAAGGCTCAGCAGGACGATCCAGAGTTAACTAGACTACGGTCATCTTCACTTCAACTCAAAGAATTTCCTCTGCCATTTTCAGCTGGAACCATCCTTTGTGACACCACCACTACTCAACCTCGTCCATATGTTCCACTACCATATCGTCGTCTCATTTTTGAAACCTTGCATTTTTTTGCTCATCCTGGAATATCTGCTACACGGCATCTTGTTAGTCAAAGATACGTTTGGCCTGGTATGAGCAAAGATATTCATAACTGGACTCGATCTTGCATTTCTTGTTAACAGTCAAAGATCACACACCATACAAAAACACGGCTTGGCACTTTTGCAACATCAGATGCTCGTTTTGCCCATGTTCATATTGATATCGTCGGACCTCTGCCACCATCTCGAGGCAACAAATATTTACTAACTTGTGTCGATGGTTTTACTCATTGGCCTGAAGCCATCCCGCTTGCTGATATTACTGCCGACACAGTTGCTCGTTTGTTTGTCACCCACTGGATTTCTCAGTTTGGAGTCCCTACCACCATCACTACTGATCGCGGCACTCAATTCCAATCTGATGTTTTCCACTCTCTGACATTGCTTCTTGGTATAAAACGGATCAGTACAACAGCATACCATCCTTGTCACAACAGAATGGTAGAAAGATTTCACCATCAACTCAAGTCTTCAATAAAAGCTTCCCCTGATCCTACCCAGTGGTGCGAATCTCTTCCACTTATCCTGCTTCACCAGCAGACAATCGTCAAAGAAGATATCGGTTGCACTCCTGCTCAACTCATACTTGGTTGCAATCTTCGCTTACCTGGTGAATTTTTTACATCTTCTACAGAACATTCCGAGCTTGACCCGTCTGTCTATGCTAATCGGCTTCAATTTGCCATGCGTGACCTTTGTCCTACACCGTATCGACCCCAGACTCCACAGTCTTATCGTCCACCAGGATTATCAACATCTAAATTTGTTTTCGTACGAAACTATGCAGTTAAAAAGCCTTTGCAGCCACCATATGACGGTCCTTTCAAAGTGCTGGAGCATCATGACAGGCAAACCAAAAACTGTCAGTCTCGACCGTATCAAAGTTGCCCATACTGAATCTGACATTGCCATGCCCCTGCCAGTTGATACCACGACTTCATTGACACCACAAAATTCAACTGTCAGTCAGCCTCGAACCACTCGTTCCGGAAGGCGAGTACATTTCCCGGACCGCTTTGGTTATTAGTACTCAACAAGTTTGAATCGCCTGTTTTGCTCCGCTCACATTCTAAGGAGGGAGCTATTGTAGTGAACTCACAAACTTGCAAAACAAACAAACTCACAAAACAATAGCAGAGAACACCTTTTGTTTTCAACTTGCGTAATAACTCTTTAGCCCTATTGTTTTCATCTAGCTCTTTTCCCTTCCTTTTGTATTTATTTCAATAACTCTCTGTTATCAACTTTTGAGTTTGTACAAAGCTATTTTTTAATTGAGTTGGTGATAAAGTTTCACAGAGACACACGTGGAGAGTTTCTCTTTCGTTTTTCACTAAATTAGTAAATACAACTAAACAACAACATTTACTAAACCACTTTCATTTTCTCTATTTCTTTCAGCAATTGCTTGTTTTGCAGTCTGCTTTCCTGCAGTGCAAGTCTGATTCATTCAACAGATGTCCCTTTGATGGGTGCCTTTGCTTGTGCAGGAACAGAAAGCTTTGCCCTTGACTTTCTTTTCTTTTTTTCCTGCTTGAGCCCAAGGTCAGAACAGCTGTTTCACATACAGCCCCCAACATCATCTGATTTAATCAGAACCAAACAGCTTTTTGCTCTGATGTATTCTCTGCAAGGAAATGGAGAGTTTACTGAATCTTCCTCGAATGGATTTACTAATATTGGTACGACATGCCTCACAGTCCCTTCGTCACCTAATGATGTGCTGCCTGGGCAAATCATGAGACTGTGAAGATTAAGCAGCAGGTCTGACACAGTTACATTGCGAACAGACCTTCTAAAGTCCTCATACAGAAAGCGGCTTTCTGGTATGATGTACCCAAAGACAGAGATAGTGAAACTCAAACTTTCATCAATCATCACGCTGAGTTTTGGTACAAGAGATTGTGAATCCATGTGATTTAGAGTGAAATAATTTTCATTATCAGTCTCTGCAACACACCAATCTTTTAAAACAAGTTTTCCAACTCGCTTTTTTAGCTCCAGAAGTGACTTGTAGTAGACATGTTGTTTGTCTTCAATTGGAATTGACTGAACAACTGTCCTTGGTTCTCTTTTTGCACAATTCGTTTGTGTAAAGTGAAACGATTTTACTTGCATGTTCAATGAAGGCAGGACTCCTTTTTCAAAAATTTCTTGGTCATTTTCTCACCTTTATCTGTGAAGAAATTAAAAGGCTATTAGATCTATCTATTATCATAATATTATTGGTTTTTTAAAGGGGTTGGATAAGAAATTTGTAAACATTGCGCATCACGGGCCGTCCCGGGCGATTTGGAGCTGGAGGAAGATTTCGAAATGGCGGACTTCGAACATACTGAAAGTTACATCCCTGGTAATTCGTCGATGGATTCTTCGGAGAGTGCCGAGAACGACAGTACTTTTTCTGGACCAGAAGTGGTGAGTACTCATTTAATCAAAATATAATTTATACATATCATTTGTGCTGTTTAGATAAAAGAATAGGCTTCTTCGGTAGGCCATGTCGGCATGGTTCTTGTGAAATCGTTCACTTTAGGGCAGCAACTCTTTACATCTTTGCAAAAATGGTTATCTTTGAATATAAACATCAATTAATAATATTTCTTCACCCAACAGTCAGCACACCCACCTTGTGACTGTGTAGGAAAATTGTGTGCTACAAAATCAACAACTAAGCGCAAAGGATGCATTTGTAGAGATGGTCAGCGAAAATGTTCATCTCACTGTCGCTGTAGAAGGCAAGGACAGCCGTGCAAAAACAAGGTAGGATAAACACTTCTTTTTATTTTTTACTTTATTCCGCAATTTAAACCTTAATCAATGACAAAAGCAAGATTTTTAACTAAAACTTTTAAAGCTTAGATATTTCCTTTAGCAAACAGGATTTTTCATTCTTCCAGTACCACCAGGAGTAAATAAGGTTTATTTCAACCAATGCTTTCTTCTGTTTCTCCAATTTTGGTAACCCCTTGTTATTATAAGCTCATAACATATGACTTGGTACTTGTGCAAGAATTTGTTGCCCTTGGGTTCCCAGGAGGGTTAAGGGGTCACAAGAAATTTCCAATAAAGTTTCTACTATACAAGATTCTACTAACATTTTGTTGAACCCTTCATATTTAGTTATTGATTCTACACATAAAGATATTTTTTCAAATGGCCATATGTTTCTACTCTTCTTCAGGTGCATATTAATTCACCTACACATAATGCAACAAACGAGTGTTGGTAAAGATGAAGAAGACCAACAAGAAAACCTTGTTGTGGAGGTAAGTGTATATTCTGGTTAATAAACAACTAAATTTACATACAGCATCAGAGAGCATACCTACAGTTAATAATTTGCTAAAATAAAAACTAAGAATATACCAACATTTAGACAAAGGAAATTTGGCAAGCAGAGAATTTAGCAAGCCTGAGTATCTTTTTCATCAAACAAAAATAATTCTAATGAATAAATTTAGGTAAAGTTATGCAAATTTTGCATGCCTTAGAACTATTTGTTAGTTCTTGTAGGATATAACTTTTCAAACTATACTCAAAAAGTTCAATAGCCAAGGAAATTTTCAAAATTTTTTTTAAATAATATTTTGGCTGTTCAAGGAAATTTTTAAAGCAAGTTTAGTTAGGGCCGCATGTCAAATCACATTATTATATTGTTTCAAACAGAACTTCATCGAGACCCTGCCAATCAAAGAGTTGAAGAAGTTGGTCTCTGTTAAGTATAAATGTGGAGTTGGTAGCATGGAATTTACAGGAAGATGCACAGCAGAGAGTGTTTTACAGGAAGATGCACAGCAGAGAGACATTCAGTCAAATGACCCCAACTTGCCATAGTGGTATAAGTGTAGAAAATGCAGAGAAATGCAACGTGACATTGAAAATAAATGTTGCAATAAAGCTGAATGCATTACGTCAAGGAGAAAATTTTCAAAATTCTGCCTTGATCCAGAAAACTTAGAAATGGTGATAAAAAATACCACAGACATCAGAAATGACAGAAGAGACAACAGCACACATGCATTTTGCAAGGCAGGATACACACAATTGCCTTGTGGCAACATGTCTATCTTGGAAAGGCAGTCGCAAGGTGGTCCCATCTTG